CAGGAGCTTGATAGTAGTGGTAGTGGTAGGGTATCTAGAGTGGAATTTAAGGAGGGGTTGGGGGCTCTGGGCATCCCTTGGGCTGATGCTACTGGTATTGACGCCTTTGAGGAGCTCTATGGGTTATTGGTCGGGGAGGAGGGAGAGGAGGATGAGGGGGAGAGTGATGGGCTGAGCTTAGCTGGAGTGCTGGGGGTATGCCCTCAACAGCAGGGGAAGATGAGTGAAGACCAACAGTGGTAGTAGGGGTGGGCTCAGCAGTACTAGAGTATCCTTTTTGTTATATATATGTAACCAACGTAGTAGTAGTGCAGTAGGTGAGGGAAACTATGCTCTGCAAAATCTAACTTAGTTATGATTATGAGCAGATCAGCTTAGGGACAAAACGTAGTTGCTCGATAGCTCTACAGATAGGTGGAAGGATTGGGGCAATAGGAGGAGCACAGTTGTTCACATATACTCGACGTGGTTCATCGATTGTTGATGAACACCACAAGAGAAGGCTCATATCATGTAGAACATCTCGCATGATATTGGTCTCTTTCAGCAGCACGTATGCTCAGAGGGTTAGTGGTGACGCTGGTGGTATACTCTCAATGGTATTAAGAAGTCTTAGTATATTGGATGTCACTTTTAAAATGGCGCTGGAGTTTCACGACTACCCGTTTTACGTGAAGTGGCGTCGTAAAACTCGGTGAAAAACGCGATAATCACACTATGCAGTAGTCGTTAAATCACCAATCATAGTTCACTCTGTGAATAGTGGCGTTATTTTTCTAATGAATTCGCGACTCATTTGTTTCAAGACTATATTCTGTCTTACGCATTCAAACTGGACTTGTAGCCGATGGGAACGCCACCAGCGGTTTGGTTGATGATAAGTGGGTTGATTTATTCGTCGCCGAAATCGAATTGAAAGGATAGAATTGTTTGACTACTCTTGGAACAGATCGGAATATGTCGCACTCATTCAGGATGAAGGGTGTTAGTGGTGTGATGCCTTCCCCAGCGGGGTCTAGAGAGGCCCTCAACAGAGCTCGAGCTCGGAGGTTGTCGGGGGACAGGTAGGTATAGTGATGATGAAGTGTGAGGAGGTGTAGATGCACCATCTGTTAGGACGGCGGCGTGGTATGCTAATGCTCCGTCACCATATGCTACTCTGGCTAGAATACGTGCTGTAGAGACTTCGAGGCACTTCGTCAAGATGCGGTATAGGAGTGGGGACCATAGCGTTTCGGAAAAGTAAGTTTCGTGAGTAGTGTAGTGGCGTTTCAGTGTGTAAGGTTAGATATGTTCTTCCCGAAATTGCCGCGAAAAGTGTGCAGCAAGAGGCAGGACAAGAGATGCAGAGATCGCGGTTCCGATGTGATGCTCTGTTGAAGGACCTCGACCGTTGTAGAAAGGAACTAAAGAGGACCAAGGATCAATTCCATGTGAGGAGGATGTTATGTTGGCGTTTTACCCGTTTTTGTGAAAATAGGGGAGATATAACCACATATTACGTGAACTATCACGTGTTTAACGCGTTATTCACCGCTCACATGCGTTTTTCGCGAGGGAAAATATGTTTCTCACCAGTGTTGTTTTTTGCATACCACGGATGAAACTCCATTGGGTCGGATGGAAGTTCAAGAAAAAAATGGTATGACTTTTATTGCTGTTCAGGACGCCTTGGTTGCCTCCCAGGACTTCAACTGGAATGCCAATAAGAAGTCCTACTTCGCCTCTTTTGAAATTCTCTCTGGTTAGTTCGACTGTCTCAGGTTAGCGCATCGAGATGATAAAGGAGGACACGCGGCCACACAGAAGGGCAAAAGTACGGCTTTCGGCCCTGAGGAAATCGATAAGGTGCGCGCCGACCACTCAATGGAGTTCACATTTCACGGTTGTCCGATTTTTGTGATAGAGAATTTTGCGTAGATTCAGAATATGTGATCATTTTTGTTTTTTTTGCTGAGTGTGGCAGCCTGAAAGGCAATTATGTATTACAACTCTTTTCGTTGTAGGGGGAGAGTGAGAGAATTAACAAGTATGCATTGAAAGGCTAGGCACGGGGAATCGATGCTCAGTTTGGATTCAGCTTATCGGTATCCTGACTTCGTTACACAGTGTACAGTCGTATCATTCTCTTGTGCTGGTAGAAGTACTCGAATTGTACATACAATGGAGTTTCACCACCCTAGTGATATGAAAAACAACACTAGTGAAAAGCATATTTCACGACTACTGCATAGTGCAGATTTCGGGTTTTTCACAGAATATTACGCCACTTCACGTAAAACGGATGAAACTCGAACGAATCACATGAAATTTGGTCGGCACTTAATCTTCTTGGGAGGCTACCCATTTGCAGGTACGCATCTTTGCTGACTTAGCAGCAGAAGTATCACCACGAGAGAAGGCTCTGAGGGAGGCCGCGAAAATGTATAAAATCCCGCTTTTTGATGCGGAAAATATATGGAAAAAATTCAAAAAAGTATGCGACTTTTTTGTCGGCGTCATGCGATGGTTGGGTACTTTAGATTTGCGCTGAAGGTTCATCTACGATGACTAAAAAAGAGTTCGAGATCCTTCTACTACAGCTTCTACGGGTAGGTTGAGGAGATCGGGCTTTTTGAGAAAACGTATAAAGTCTTGAATCGGGGCTTTCACTGCTGCCGTCCAGGTGAGTGGATCGTTATTTGTTTTTGACCCACTTATGTGAGTATAAACGTTTGTTGTTTTTATGGTCAGCTACACTACACTAGATTTGTGAGATAATGAGATGAATTATGCCTAAGAGAATTTTCGAAGACTACGAAAGACAATTCCGGCGGAGTATTATTAATAGTTATATTATATTCAATTAACGGCGGAATAAGACTTATCCGTTTTGTAACGCTATCTAGTTGACCTTGGAACTCTCGAAATCGATTTGCTCGTGTTGTTGTTCAGGTGGCGGCCATTCGCCCTAGTAGGTTGGACGAATGGTGGCGTAGTTTGGATCGCCATAAAAAGGGTGAAGTTGGTTTTGTTGAGTTCCTCCGATATTATTGGACTCGCCTTCGTGGGGTCTAACATGTGAATGCTGCTCATTGCTGTCCTTCACCAGTGTCTGTTGTGTTCAATGAAGGCTCATAATGGGGAGTTTATGATACATGTCGTTACTTGGGTGAACTGTTGTGACCGCCGATGCATAACTAATATCGCACTGCTGCTGATACATGCGTGTGATAGAGTAACTCGGGTTCTTTAGCGGAACGGTTAGTATAATAAACTACCTTGGCAATGGTTCCGGGTTCAAACCTGGGTAATGGTATAATGCATCGTATCATCACGTTAGGGCCAAGTTGTTTGCGAGCATGGTAGCCCCTTCACAGCCACCACCAGAGGTCCTCAGCGTGAAGCCCGTCGTCCCTCCACACGTATTAGAATCATTACTCAGCTACAAAAGCAAGGCCCTGATCAGCCGAGGTGAGTAGTACTCG